ACGACGGATGCGCGAATAGCTTCTGGTTAACCCGCCCCCGGGGGGGAAGTTGACTACCTCGTATGTTTTTTTTAGCACAGCTAAAAAACGAATGTTTACAGAAAAACCAGTGTCAGTACCTTGTCATGCATCAATTTGGCATCTTTGCGTGAATTTTAGGGTTTTATCTGCCAAGGTCAGTGACTTAGGATATGTCAAAGAGGTCAACTTTAAAAAAACGTTGACTTAGCATATTTGTTTGGGGTACATCAATTATCATTGCTCAAAAACCATGCTGTCGTGATAGAAAATGTTAATACCTGCAACTTGCATCTTTGAGGTTTTTAAGAAGGCGAGTTCGTTGACCTGGGGTGAGGCAAATTTTTGCCATGTTTCGTAAATAATGCGAGCTTGTATGCATTTCTATGCAGTTTTGGTGTCTGCATATAAGGAAAAGAGTACTGACCCACATGCGCAACCATCATATGACCATAGCGCACATGATACTGACCTAGGTCATGACTTACGTCTATGGCTTCCTTTTGCAGCTCACATGCTGAGCTCAAAACAGGCAGCTTTTTTCGAAAATCTTGGACGCAGAATTCAAGTACTGCACTAAAAGCATGCTGTGATATCACATTAAGGCACAATCAGGTCACAGTAAGCAACGTGGAGACACGCGAGATCATATGAGGTCATCCAATGTCACTGATCCCTGTTGTCAGTGGTGGAGAGGCGAAATGAACGAGTGGGACGCGCGTGACCACTTCGATTTCGTGTTAATGAAGCTGATATATAATCTCACGAGTCAGTGTGCCTGTTCTCAGTTTGTTACAGCTACCGCGCCAAACATTAAAGGGACTCTGCGCAAGGTATACAAGAGCGATGCGTCCTGGGGTGCCTCTAGATGTACAGCACACTATTTCTGACAACAGAAAAGCATAGTACTGGTCACTTAGACCAGGTTAGCACTCGGTATTTTTCATTTGAATGGTTTATAAGTTTCACGTAAGTTAACCTCAGCTGACCTCTATGTCAGCTTAAAATGGTACTGCGATACTTAAAAGGGTACTGGTTTGGGATACTTTTGTCCCACAGCCGCAACTCATAAGAAGCTAGTCAAAGACACATTATGACAAAATGCAAAAGCGTATCGTTCCTGTAGGCTACTGGTAGCCCAGTTTGATCGGTGGTCTGGCTGGAATGGACTTCCCAGAATTAACGGTTGCTTCCGTGCTCTCACTTTGTTTTGACTTGCTAACTTATATTTTGACTGCATTTATCAGGTGACCTTTTTCTTTGGTGAACTTTGTAACCTCTCATTTGCCCTAGAGTCAACAATTTGGTGTGCAGTCTTGATGAAACTTTCACAGCAGTGTTTGCTTTTCTCGTGCGACGTCCAGAAGTTGGAGGTCCCGGGCGGGGAATCAACTTCCCCCTGCCGGGTGTGGTTGTCTCAGACCACCGGCCTGCGCAGGTTCTGTGCATGCATAAGGAAATACGATCATTAAAAATTTATTAGACGATGCAAGCTTCAGTAAGTTTAGGTGCGTAGGGAGTGTTTACGGTTTGCATAGGGCTCGAGTGAAACTGCAATTTTGAAGACCCTTCAGTGCTGTTCACACCCTCCCCTTCTTATAACCTAAGCTCCTCTGTTTTCTTAACTATGCTCCTGCCGAAAATGGGGTGTGTATGTCGGGGAGGGTATTTCAAAGCACTTTGGCGTTCATGGCGTCCTAATAACAATCTTCAAATCATGTCATTCCCTCAGCCATACAGCGATCAAGGCCAATAAAAACATGATTACCCTCGTGTTTCGTGAGCACGATTTTCCAAACATAGCAACCGTTCATTGGCATCAATTAATGTTATGCAAAGTAAGGTGACTTAATCAGGCCACGACGCATTGAGAAGCATAGTTACTTAACAGACGTTTGCAGACGAGAAAAAATTTTCCACTTCAAAACTGTACCAATAGTTATAAGTGAGCTTATCTCATCCTACCAGATGCTTGCTTTCGTATTTTCAAATGTGAAACATTCCTTTTGATATTTGTTGTCCTATGTATATATAAATATATATATATATATATATACATATATATATATATATATATAATATATATATATATATGACAACAATGTAATTGCTTTCATTGCAAAAATGATAATATTATTGTATTAGAAAAACAATTTATATATATATATATATATATATATATATATATATGCAAATTACATATAATATATATTTATAATATAAGTCGTATGACAATCTAAAATGCATACAGGATTAGATTAGATTAGATTAGACATGGATATAGGATTACGGTGTACATTTTAATCATTCCAATCCGGCCGAAACCTGGTGACTAGGCTTCGTCACATGAAATACGTTGCGCCGACCATCATCAGCGCAAAAGCCTCGCCACGTGCATGCGGCGAATTGGTCCGTACTGTGCAAACTGGTTGGTTGGCCGACAACAAACCTGTAGTGGAAATAGTGCTGTGGACAGCTTTGACCCTGTTTGAGGCCTACAATGAATCGGAACGAATGCCTATTGAATGGCTTGTGGTGGCCTGCGTGTACATTAGTACCAGCACATTAGACATTACACATACGGATCGTACGCTGCTACACATGTTGGCACCATTAGATCTATAACTATACATACAGTTATAGGTCTATAGCTAGACAGACACAGCACAAAACTATATCCGCATATAGTCTAATACAGCACGCTTACACTCAACTTTCCTACATAACAGACATTGCCTGAAGCCTCTCAAAAGGGTCCCAGAATCAAATCGCAGGATTCCAGTAATCCACGCCCGACCGAGTGAATGGCGCTGACTTCGCCTACCGATGCTTTTAAAGCACAAATTCCAAACGGACGCTCGTAGCAACACCGCAATTTCAGTAACTGTTAATCTATCAAGTGACATCTTTTGTTGCAGATTTCAACTTATTGAATCTGCCCAAGTTCAGTGACCTACATTAGGGTCGAAGGTAACAACGTCTAAAACTTTCACCCCGCAAACACTTTTGTGAGCAATTTGCCATTGCTCAAGGTGTATAGTATTATGATATGTCGCTGCTCTTAGTTTGTATATTTTATAGTTTTCGAAACAGGCAACGCCGGTGATCAGAAGTCAAATAAATTCTGCTATTATTTTCGTACATAATGCAACTTTATGCTTGTTTTGTGTATTGTTGTCGTTTATATATGAAGAAAAGAGCACAAACTCACCTGCGAAGCCATCATATGACCACAGTGCGCATAACCTCGGCCCACGTCATGACCTACCTATAAGAGTACCCTATGCAAAACACGCTGAGCTCAAAATAAACAGTTTGAATGGGTATCTGTTGGCGCGGAATTCGTATGCTCCGCCGAAAGCATGTTGTTAAATCCTTGTAACGCATAACAAAGTCACAATATGCCACTTGCAAACATGCAAGGTCAATTAACTCTGTTGTCAGTAGCGGATACTAACGTCCTTGTTCTCAGTTTATTACAAATGCAGTACCAAGCGTAGAAGGGATTATGCATAATGTATTTAACAGCTTTGTAATCTTGAGTGGCTGTAAATGTACAACTCCTTTTTCTGACCACAAGAAGACATTCTACCGGTCACTTAAATCCAATTAACATATGTCACATTTGCATTTAAATTGCTTATAGAAGTGCCCTAAGTTGACCCCATCTCATCCTCAGGTCAGCATGAAAAGATACATTTGTGTCTGAGATACCTTTGTCCCACGGCTGCTCCTAATAAAATAAACTTAGTCAAGAGCACATGGTGAAATAAGACACAACAAGATCGTTTTTGAAGACTACTGGTAGACCAATTTTGAACGCAGACCTGACCTGCCCTGATCCTTGTGGAAGGACAGAAATAGGCGAGATAGACTCCCTACCAGCTAACTGTTTACTTTCGTTCTCTAAATCTTTGTTTTGACGTGCTGGCATATCATTAACTGCAAGTGTCAGAACGATCTTTTTAACCTTTCTTGACAGTTGGCGATCTTACGTTTGACATAATGTCTAAAACTGTGTGTGCATTATTTGAGATGACGAGACCTTCACAACCATACTTTTTTCCTAAAAAATGTCTGGAAGTTGTAGATGGGGAGTCAGCCCTCCCCCCCCCCCCCCGGCCGTGATTGTTTTCAGGCCCCTGGCCGAGGACAGGTTGACATGGAACCAAATGGGACCCTGGATTCACCATTGGTATCCAGACACAGGTTTACAGTACGTGACATAGGCCATGTATTTTTATAGAGGCCATATATGTAGATCAAGTCGCATTATAATGTGCAGATGTGTATGTTATTGTGTCATACAGTTGTATAGGGATGTTTTGGAGGCGTGTTAAGAAATGTGTCAAGAGACTGAGAGGTGGCTTTGTGTGACAAATTTTGTGCAAATTCAAGGTCAGCGACGCTTTCATGTCGCGAATCCAGTAGCGTCGTGTTGACGTTTACGACCGATATTTGCTCACCGAACATATCAACCACATGGACAATGCTGCCGTCCAAAGGTAAAACGTCATGTACTCATTTCTAGACATTTTGCGCTTTTTATGTCATCTGATTCGTCTTGTCATGCTGCATTCAGATATTTAAACCAATAGTTGAGATTTTCACAAACATTTGGCTAAGAGAAAGGCTAAGGGTTTGTGAAAATTTTAACTGATTGTTTGAATAACCGAAATTAGCACGAGTACGTGGATCAGATGACATTAAAACCGCAAAATAGCCAGAACTTAACAGATGGGGTTTCACCTTTGGACGGCCGAATGTGCCCTCTAAGGCCCATCGTTTGTGACATCGCGGTTGACCATCAGGCGAGCCCGGGATGATGACCGCCCCCTTGCAGGACACCGGCCACCGCCGGTGGTCCACAGTCGGTGCCAGGATATTATGAAGTCGCGGTACCGCGCTCTGGAGGAGTCCGAACTGAACGACATCATGCGGAAATTCAGCCTGATCCGGTGCGAGTCTGGAGGCCCGCCACGCGCGTCCGACCACTTGCCTGCCGCGGCTTCACGCGCGCCTGGCTGAGACGTGACCTGGCTATTGATGAAGTGCTGTGTATGCGTTCACCCTTAGAACTACACAGAATTCGATATGTATTGCCTTTTTGGATGTTGTTTCGATTGGTCGTTTGGTTGCTCATAAATGGTCAAGTAGTCATGCTACTGATAGAGTAAGCACATCAAAAGACACGATGCAGTGTTAAAACACAGATCGAAAAGTTCATCAAGGTAACTTTATGTGAATTGCTCGGAGATTTCTGCTGAGAGTAAGGCTGACTCTGCGGGCGCCGGCAGCGAAGCTGAGGTGAGCGAGGAGGTGCGTCAGCAGCTGCGCATGCCGACCTTCGACAGCTGGCAGTGGACGCACGAAGAGATGCTCCTGCTGCTGCAGCAGATGTTCATCGACCTCGAACTCATGACGCGCTTCGCGCTGGAAGTGTCCACTCTGCGCCGCTTCCTGCTGCGCGTGTTTGAGAACTACAACGTTGTGCCCTTCCACAACTTTCGTCACGGGTTCTGCGTGACGCAAATGGTGAGTAGGTCACGCGGAACCCGCGTGATGTGACTTTCCAGGGCTGTCCTTTGGGAACTTGGCAGCAACCGTTCTGGTCTATACTGATGGAGAATTTGCGGTGTGGCACACTCCCTAGGGGCCTATGGCATTTCAACCATTTATTATAATACATGTCAGCAAGGAATGCATTGAGGTCCTGTTTTTTTGGCATTATAAGCGTGAAGTTCTCACGTTGACAAAAATCGACTTTTAATATGTCATAAGTTATGATGAGGTGCGTGCGTATCCCAGGAGGCATACTGAGTCGGCGTATATACCAGGAGCTGTTCAATGACAAGCTCTTGATTACGGGCAGAGCCTGAAACATCATGTTTTGACGATATGTGAAGTGTTTGGTTCATGGCATCGTTGAACCAGTACCTCCTGACGTTTTTGAGAGTCGATTGTTGTCAGCATTACACTGGGGAGACTGTGCTTAGTTTCACGTTGGCGTTCGGCGTTTTTGGGAAAGTGTTGCTTTTATTTTCTCTGTTTTTTGTTATAGCCAATGTGTGGGTGGTAAACCTTTCCACCACCGGCACCGCCTACCGCACCAGCACCAGGACCAGACGGTGTTTTAAGCGTGCTGTGCTGTCTTCCGACACCGCGTGACCTTGCTGTCTTTCAGACCGCGTCGCAGATCTTCAGAAAATCCGGCTTGAAAGGATTAAGAGCACGTGTTTGGTCCCAATGCTCACACTAAGTTGATTTCGTGGTCCCAGCGCAAGAAATTCAGCAACTGCTTGTCGTTTCTCGCCTTCCAGGTGACGTGACGCAATTACCACAGAAATTCTTCCTTTAACGTTTTGGTCAGCCACGGCAGCAGCGGGATCTTTTTGTAGCATACAGGCTGCAAAACGAAGCCCATTGACAGGTTGTCCGTTTCCAGGCAGTCGCCAGCTGACCTTCAAACATTCGCTCAGAATTGTTCAGGTCCACCGACTCAGGCTCAGGCTCAAAACGTGCTGTAACCATTCACAATTTATTTTGGGCTATTACGGCCTCGCAGTAGTAAGGTAACACAGCAGACGGTGGTTATCACGCGTCATATCCACGAATAAGCACACACACATACACACACGCACGCGCACACGCACACGCACACGCACACGCACACGCACACGCACACACACACACACACACACACACACACACACACACACACACACACACACACACACACACACACACACACACACACACACACACACACACACACACACACCACACACACACGTACGCATGCACGCAGGCGTCCAGGGGACCTCAAGCATAACAGCAGAGCAGCGGAGCAGCGGGCGGCCAGCAGGGCCTGAAGCAAATTTACATGCACCCGGGTGGCGGAATGAATGCGATTTATTGCGTTGGGGATGTCATTTTGACAACCTTAATATATCGAGAACTAAGGGAGCTAGATACCCCAAATTCACAGGGTTAGTGCAATTCTGCGTGGACTCATTTGTCTGAATTTTTACATGCTTAGTTTGTGACCTTTGGGTAAACGAAGGTTAAGTACATTCAAGCTAGACATCGGTGTCGGACATGCTACCATACAAACTCACTCATCCAAATTTAACCTAGATACCCTTATCGAGAATAATCATGATCAAGGCGATTCTAGGTAGATGGCCATATCTCGCACTTAGATTACGCGTTAATATGGTCACATTTATAAGCCTTAAGGGAGGCTGACACAAAAAATGTGCAACACATTTTGAGATTACTTTTGCATTTGGATTTAGAATCATCGCTCAAGACTATGCTGAAAGGCAAATTCCTGGAAGCAAAAAATTTACACAGGCCATTTCAAATCAGTGACTTTCATTAAGCAATCGTTATATATTATGTTAACCTCCCTGCGATGAAGAAAGCAATCAAATAAATTATGCAGTTTAAAAGCTCTTTGGTTTTGGATCTCGATCTGACTTTCACGACTGAGTCAAGATCTACCAAATGAGATGCAAATTGAACATATAACCTAAATCGTCCACTTGTTTATTGGAAACCATCTCTAAATTGCATGACTTCGCTTAAAACCCAGTTACCACATCGCTTCGGAAGATGCCCAAATCATTGCCTTTGTTGACAGCTGTGGCCTGATTTTGAACCACTACAAGTCAATGATCTTTGAAATTATATGCTTTATTTTACGCCACAGTCATTCGGTAATCCACAGCCACATTGAGTAAAGTAATTGAACACCCATGTATCACTGCTCAAAAGTTATTTGGAAAAAACCACAGAGGTCAAATTCACCTCACTTCACGCAGGTACGGGCTAATCCCGATCCCTGTGCAGCTGGTGCCTCAAGTGGAGACTACGGAGAGGTATGGAGAGCCGCGACGGGGACCTGAGCACACACAACCTGCCGTGCTGTCTCGCGCGTCGGCCACGGATCTCCGACACGATCCGAGCTCGCTGGCCAAGATCTCAGACTCGCCCAGGCGGCGCACCTGGCATCTTATGCTCAGGGTACAGCGCGAAACGAAATTCACAGCACTCAGCCAGCCCCAACTTCTCTAGCAGATTCGTTGCATGACCAATGGTCAAACTTACTGAGACCAGCAATAACTTTTGCTGGGCAGGTCTTTGCTGAAAGGAAGTGTGTCACATCTGTGTGGGTTTTTAAAAAAAATAGACATCTTGAAGACCTTTCTTCTGTTCACAATTCTGCCCTTCTTAAGACCTAAGCCCCTCTTGTTTCTGAGCTATACGTCCGCTAAAATTGGAAAAGATATATGGGCGAGAGTATGTCAAAGTCACCTTGGTATTCATGAGGCCATAATAACGTTATCCAGATCATGATGTTCCATAAGCCATGCGACGGTCAAAGCCAATAATAGTATCATCGTTGAGGCGTTCATATCTGGCGTTGGTGGGCACGATTTGTAGATATAACGGCCGTTAATTGACCTTCGATCAATGTTGTGCAAAGTGCGATAACGTAATCGAACCATGGCGTGTTGAGCAGCATATTTACTCAGCAGAGAATTGTGCTGTCTAGAACATTCTTACCTTTAATACCTTTAATCGAAGAGAGGCTTTTACCTACCAATTTAGGGCATTGATACAATTAAGACATCCCCTTAATCCAAAACATGTTCCTCTGCGAACCATTGCCGTATGTCAGGACATAGCAGCGGGTCTGCAAGTGAGCCAAGTCATTGACCATCGCGAAGATGATGGAGGGAGGCAGGTAGTTCATCACCGCGTTTATTTCAATCCATTTGATTGAAACCAATTGTCAAGGAAAGCCAGCAGATGCGTTATCGTAGCAACAACTATTGGAAGCCACAGTTATACCCACTGATAACATTGAGGACGACTGGTGCGCCTTCATCAAAAGGACTGAGGTCGCTGGCGAAGGCGCAATAGAACAGTGGTCTGAGGGTAGAGTCCTAGAAGATGCCGATGCTGGTTGGGATCGATTCAGATGCTGGAGCGTCAGTGAAGTAGGCGTGGTTGCGGAGGTGTGCAGAAAACCAAGAAATATCGGTTCATGAAGACCCAGTTTAGCCAAGTGTTTTGCGTGGTCGATCACATTTGTTCAAATACAGGAGATGAGGCAGGGACAATCTCTTTCCAGTGGTTGACGGAAAGAATATGGTCAGATATGGACATCAGCAAGATTTCCGTCGTGTAACGGGCACGGAGTGCGTGCTGGGTGGGGAAAGGAGTTGGTTCTGGGACCAGTAGTTGTAAAGCCGTTGGTGAGCGGCCCCTCTACAATCTCGACAATGGCAGGAGCGATGTAAGTTGGCCAAAGGCTAGACGAGTCTGAAGGATCGCCGTGTTTATGAATCGGATAAACGAGGAAATCAGTAATCAGGGACAGTAGGGAGAGAAATCATGCAAATGACCGAATGCAGGAACACTCAGCCCATCTTTGCAAAAGACAAACCATACGGATATTTATCGATGCGGCGAGGGTAACGATATTGGACGATGCCTGTGAATATCTACAAAACGTGCCTCACATTCGCGCAAATTTCGCAGTCACACACCAATTTTTGAGAGATAAGACGCAAGTTGGATGTCGCAGGGTCTTGCCAATTCATGACAGTTGCTGATAATAACATCGGACACTGAACTGGAAGAAAAGATCAATGATTTCGCACATTACGACATCGAGAGGCCCGGCAGAAAATGTGTGGCCGCTTCTTAGCAGGGTCCCAGGTCTGCTTTAAGAAATTCACGTTAAGTCACCACAGATTAAAGCAATTGTAGAAGATGGCACCAACGTTCAGAAGAGGCGGCTACCAGACCAGGAGATAACCAGCTAACAGCCATCGAGCTCATTGAGATTGGCGCATGCGGGGAGACCGGCACTTCACCTCCGTGCAGGTCACATATCTTGCCATGCATGAATGGGTTCTTGAACTTGCACTTCATGATGTGTCGCCGTGATAGTACCACAGTCACAAATCAGTGCGTCGTGATAGCGTCAGAATCACAAATCAGTGCCTCATCACGCGGTAGTATGGCATTCAACGGCACAGCACACTTGCAACACGACAACGTATGACGACTGGCCCTTGCCCTTTCAAACACATTCGTGTCCACGAAGCGACAACCCACGTCATATTCATAAAACCAATCGCTGCAATCACGGCGGCCGATCGGTCCCGGCGCGTCTCGGTTTGAATCAGATTCCGAGATGTGCAGATCAAATTCTGCTGGTTAACCTGGAGGCCGATCATAACACGCATGGACAATTTTTCCCGTGACGTTATCAGCAAACTAATGCATGCGACACCAGTCAATCGGGCCAGACAGGCCAAACATTCAAGCAGCGCACCGATCATGCATGTGATCCCAAATTGATACTATCTTTAGCTTGCTCTATGAATGACAATCGACTTAAAGGGAGAGTCCCACATTTTTATGGGGTTTTGAGCTGAAATGGGCGTCTTGAAGATCATCCGGTGCAGTTCATAGCCCTGACCTTCTTGAGACCTAAACCACTCTAGCTGCTGAGCTACACGCCCGCGGAGGTGTACAGACTAGTTCGAAGAGACTATTCCACGGTCACCCAGGCATCCACGATGCGTCTTTAATAACGTCATTCAAATCCTGCCATTCCGTTGGCCATGCGGCGATCAAGGCCAATATAACTATAATTGCCGATTCGTTCATGTCTGGTGTTCGTGAACACGATTTCCAGATACAAAGTACGTCAGTTGGCTTCAATCAGTGTTCTGCAAGGTACGATGACGTAATCAAACAATAACGTATTGAAGAACATACTTATTAAGCAGAGAAAATGCGCTGTCCGGAGGAATCTTTTCCACTTAAAAAACACCGAGAGTTTCAAGTGAGCTAATTTCATCAGATCTGATGCTTGCTTCAAGATCTACAAATGTGAAACATTGCCTACAAATCACTCGCGCATATGACGCAAGTCCAACGATTGAATGCTCGCGCGGATACCATTCCGTTTTGATGCCTCGCAGTCCTCCACTGCCGAGGCACCAAGCCGAGGTTTACGGGTGACCTGAGCACCAGGTCAGGGCATTCCCCGGCGGCGAGCGCCGGGGAATGCCTGACTGACTGACCTGACTGACTGAATGACTGCAGACAATGACTGACTGACTGAATGACTCAGCGCCTCCAAGGATGCCGCGAGCGCGACCGGGATTGCTGCGCGTCTCCGGAGGTATCGATTCCGGGGGCTGAGATTGCTGCACGTCTCCGGAGGTATCGATTCCGCTGATCTCCTTACGGTCACGTGATGACACAATCGGCGTCCGGATTGACGCGGTGTTCGCTGCGGTGGGCCGATTGCATTTGCGCCGAGCGGCCGTGCTCCGTGGGGACGACCGCAAGGGTGAGGCACGCGCGGCGCGGGCGAAGCGTCGCTCCATAGCGGGCGAGTATCGTCCGAGTGTTGACACTGGCGCAACGCTGTAAACGCATCACATGAGTGCGATGCTCGCCTCAATTTATGGAATCAAGCCGTTCGAAGTTTGCGCTTTTCACGGCGAGGTTAGGGCTCTGCATCGCGCCGGTATCCAGGAGGTTCGTTCAAATTTCTGACTAAAACGTTAGATGATGTGGGCTGGCGGGAATTACCGCTCTAGGCGAACCGGCCAGTTGCGCGTCAGATCAGGTATGGTCAGGCACGGCCTGCCTTAACAGGATTAAGCATAACCTAGTCGGTCGTGATCGCGAAGACTGTTGATGTCGTAAGCTCCACAAATCCCCATAAGCCCCAAACTGGCGCCAAACGTGAACGGCCACGTTATACGCATATGGCGAAGACATGCTATTTTACACAAAAAGGCTCTGAACCTTTCTCATGCCTTCATGCGCAATGTTGCAGGGCGTATTCTGCTCAGAAGTGATATCAGCTGTTGAATGTAACTGTTTCCTGAGTCAGGCGCAATCCTGGCGCACGATTTACCACGCACGAAATGCGTTACTACGATTCTAACTGTATACCACGGGCAGACGTTCCATAGAGCCGGAGCTAGTCTGTGCTACAATCGTGTTGCATCTCACATCATACAGCACCCTTCTCTCACCTATGACGCCATCAGCGAGACTTTCACACCGTGGGCGCAGCCAGGAAGGAGGGGAGAGTCTCCCTTTCGATTCGGGTCGTTTGTTTTGACGCCATGGATGGCTCCTGACAGGCAGATAAAGATCAGCATTGTGTGAGCTCAGTAAAAGAGTTCTCAGTGAGCTCCGGCCTCCGACAAGAAAATCCGGGCTGCGTCTCGGTTCCAATCGTACCGTTCAAATCTGCTTCGTTTGTATACAGTCATGCTCAGATGAACCGTGTGCTCGCACCTGGTGTGCTATTGCAAATGTACGCTCTACCCAGCAATGTACCTACGTTCTACCACTCTCTTCCTAATCAGAAACCAACTGAATGACACTAAACGAGTTTCAAGTGTGGCACAAGAGGCAATGCTAATTCGTTTCAATATTGTTCGCGTTTCTTTCACAAATTGCACGCCTTTCCGCCTCAAAGCAAGGTGGCCCCGTATGAAATCACGAAGTTGAGCGCGGGGTAGTGTTCACTGTCTGACCGTAACCGATTCTCCCAACGGGTGTGTTCGATGGTGTGAGCGCGTGACCTGCTATCGGGTCGCGTTATGCAACGTCGGGGCACAAATGCTGCAACGCGAAAGGCTCTGGAAATGTGCGCGTGTTCTCGATTGTGAGGACTCTTGGCCTGAGGTCAGGCGCTCCTTCAATGTTTGGAAATGTGCGCGTGTTCTCTATTGTGAGGACTCTTGGCCTGAGGTCAGGCGCTCCTTCAATGTTTGGAAATGTGCGCATGTTCTCTATTGTGAGGACTCTTGGCCTGAGGTCAGGCGCTCCTTCAATGTTTGGAAATGTGCGTGTGTTCTTGATTGTGAAGACTCTTGGCCTGAGGTCAGGCGCTCCTTCAATGGCTGATTGTCGCCGATCACTCTCTAGATTACACCATGTCGCGGAGCACTCCGGATTTCTGGGAGTCGTCTGTCGCCCCCAGATGCACTCAATGGTGTGGCCGTGTGATCTGACATCTCAGAGCTCTCTGTGTGAACGTCTGACCGCGTCGGCCACTCTCCAGATGTACTCGATGGTGTGGGCATGCGACCTGATGTCGCGGACAGAGCCGCTGGACGTGTTCATCCTGCTGATCGCCTGCATCTGCCACGACCTCGACCACCCCGGCTACAACAACATCTACCAGGTGGGCTGGTTCGTGTGGAGCCCCGCCGGCCAGCCCGGGCGTGGGGCTTGCTGGCACCGCTGCGCGACCGGTGTCGCGGTGCCTGCTGACCCCTGCTGACCCCTGCTGACCCCTGCTGACCTGTGCTCGGTCTCACCCCGGGTCTGCGTGAAGCATCGTTTGTGCCTCCACGGCCAGACGGCGATGAGAACAGCCATCATAAACGGAAGGTCGGCGCTGACGGACTGTGACTGCCGTTCAGCGATAGATACTGTGGCGCCAGCACTCCGGACAATCAGGGGCCGTGTTCAAATTCCGCTACGCAAGGATCAATGCGGCCAGATGTCTATTCACAAAGTTTCGCCGCAGCAGGGGATGACTCGGCCGGCACCGCTGCACGGTGTTCGTAGTTGGAGGACGATGACGCAGGGAACGCGTCGGGATTGCGTCACGGGGATCCCTGCGCAGGGACCACCGCGCCGTGGCCGCGGCACAGAGGTGCTGGTCACCGGTCAGAAAACGCACGTCACGGACTGGCCGCTGCTCCCCAGAGCCAATCGGTCTCCGGGCGGAACGGGGTCGACAGCGACACCCCGTCGATCCCAGGCCGCCACGACAAGAGTTCGCTTTCACGGCGCGTGGCGCAAACAGACCGCGCCGCGTACCGGCTGCAAACAGCGGCAAAAACGGCGCTGATCGGCGGCAAGCGTGGCGCGCTGTACTATCTTGCCGGCCGTCAGCTTGCTCGTCAGCACAGTGCTGACGCTGACACTCAGCTGTCTTGCCGACTGTCGGCTAGCCCGTCACTACAATGCTGACACTCTGCTGTCGTACAGACCGTCGGCTGGCTCGTCCGAACAGTGCTGACACTCAGCTGTCGTACCGATGATCGGCTGGTCCGTCAGTACAGTGCTGACACTCAGCTGCCTTACCGACCGTCGGCTAGCCCGTCAGGACAGTGCTGACCGTCTTACCGACCACCGGCCGACCCGTCGGTGCGATATTGACAGTCTGGTGCCGTTTAGGATGCCGGTCTGTATAATATCAGCCACAATATCTGACATCGCTAGACTATTCAGAAAGTGCAACGCTTCAGCAAAATACGATGGTGTAGCAATGGTAAATTTCCGATGCACAGTGAGACCTGTTTATTTTCTGTGGTGATATGTTAAAAGTACAGCCAGCATCCTTCTTCGTAGCTGGCCGGCGCGAAGGTGCCGTCTGCTGCCTCCCTATCCTATGTCATCAATGCAGCAATCTGCCGACGCTCGCGGGCATAATTGAAAAATGATGCATCCCTCTGCCAGAACAAACCTAGTAAAAGATTATTGGCTGGTTGTATAAGGCAGCTGCGCTGCGGTAGATGTAAGGGTTATTTTTGTGGGGAAATTGTGCCTACTGATAGCAATCATCATGGTGGTGGAACAGACCGGCAATAGCATCGTATCGGGGAACACTTCCGCATAATCATCTCCAATACTGCCGGATCCGCCAGCATGATGTCTGCTGCGCCTTGCGATTACCCTTCAGAGGCTCGCGGAGGCGGACACGTCAAACTCACTGGCATTGGATCGGCTTGGGGGGGGGGGGGGACCATTATGATTATTATTGCGAACTTTGGAGAAATCCAGCTAGTGGCTATTCTAACGCCGCGTCAGTGAATACTACGTAGATCAACACAGAACACGCAACACAACAAAACAATGCGGGAGACGAACAGTAAGGCAGCGACTCTGAAGCGGTCGGCTATCGCATTCGCGTCGTGCCCGTTTGTGCCATGACATTGTCGATTGATGTCATTGACATGACGTGACATTGACATTGCTGTCCTGCTGATGCCCTGCGCCGGCGCCATGACCGCGCTTCGCCCCCAGCCATGCTGGTGGCGTCGCCGTCCCCGACAGATCTGTGGCCCGCACGGCACTGCGGCAGCGCTGTGTGTGTGTGTGTGTGTGTGTGTGTGTGTGTGTGTGTGTGTGTGTGTGTGTGTGTGTGTGTGTGTGTGTGTGTGTGTGTGTGTGTGTGCGCGCGCGCGCGCGCGCGTGCGTGCGTGCGTGCGTGCGTACGTGCGTGCGTACGTGCGTGCGTGCGTGCGTGCGTGCGTGCGTGCATTGTGCGTGCTTGCGTGCATACGTGCACACGTGCGTGCGTGCGTGCGTGCCTTTCAGTAGCGTCGACAGCTGTGGCTATTTCGTCCGGCAGGGCCTGCTTCAAACGAACATGAACACAGCTATTACCCGAGATATTGGAAATGGTCACTGTAGAAGCAGACTGTGTCGAACGAGCACTGTGTTGTTGAACTGCAACGAGAAGACTGTGATGAGGGAACAACGAACGCTCCCCCCCCCCCCCCCTCCCCGGCCGCGGACCGCCGTCACCGCACCTTGTCCTCTCCGGCAGATCAACGCCGGCACCGACCTGGCGCTGCGCTACAATGACGTCTCGCCGCTGGAGAACCACCACTGTTCGGTGGCGTTCAGCATCCTGCACGAGCCCGACTCGAACCTACTGGCCGGCCTGGACGGCGAGGACCAGCGGCGAGCGCGCGACGGCATCATCCGCTGCATCCTGGCCACGGATATGGCGCGCCACAACGAGATCATCGACCAGTTCCGAGAGGTGCTCGACGAGTTCGACTTCGGCGAGCCGGTGCACGTGAATCTGGTGAGCGGAGAGCGCGGGCCGGTCTGATGTGGCTGAACCGCTAGAACTCCCATCGCCCTGTAAAGGACGCGACTGGTGTCGTTTGTCCATGTACCGTGCACGATGACAGCAACAATACGCCGAAAGATGGCGTAAGGTGCTGAAATGCTCTTGTGGCATAGTTTTTCGCTTGCCTTGTAGCCATGCGTATGTAAACAAAGAATGCAGGCAGACATATTTTACTAACGTAGCATTTGGCTATGCAGGCGCAGATGTTATGTCGTGACTCTGTGCCTGTAGCACGTGCACTGATAAGATCACAGAACTGGTTTAGCGTAATGACCATCGCCAGCGTGTTTGTTTGGAGCTACACACGTCATCGGAGTTGTCCTTTCAGCTATCGATGGTCCTCATCAAGATTGCAGACATATCCAATGAGGCCCGCCCCGTTCCAGTAGCGGACCCTTGGATTGATTGCTTGCTACAGGTACGACATACGTCGTCCGTCGACACTGAGTGATGAACATGTTAAAACAAATATAACGAGCACGCGGCCTATAAGGAGTTGTGCAGTAGAGTGTGGCTCAGAAATGAATTCGGCGCAATTCTGCAACGTCCAAGTGGCTGCCAGAAAAATAACTCCACGCAATGCTGCATAGGGCATGAAACCAGTTTGCCGGATATTCGGTTGAAAATGTCGAGACTGAAGGATGTGGTGACGGCTTACCGCACGAAGCCGTACAGTTCGCACTGTCCCAGGCGTCGCACAAAATTGACGTCTGCGGACCATCGTCGTCGAACGAAAAACAACAACAAAAAAAAACAAAACAAAACCGAAAACGGAGTGCATCATTGTTTACCAGCTGTCGTGTGGGCATCCAGCTACCGCAGCACTATTTTCGAGCGATGCGTTGTAAGCCTTCCCTCGATGCCCGTGGGAGTCAGTTACGCTTGACATCTGAGGCAGCGCGAATAGTGTGATTTCGATGTGTGGGGCTGCGTGTGGTATTTTCCTCTAACACAGTTCTATCAACTGATGACATAGAATAAGAAAGTGATCACATTCCCATCAGCCCTATCTGTGGCTCAGAATGCGAGCTTGTGATCAGCGTTGCAACAATCTGATGTCGGTTCATTCGCGGACGTGATGACCTTGCCCGCTGGCGCAACCTCAGAAAATGGATCTACCAGTGATGCGATTGACAGGATTCTCATCAGCGTCCATTTATGTTTTGAGCCCTCGCGGGTGAACGCGAAAGAAGGGGTTTTTCTTAGCGATTGGCACTGTCTCCATCAGAACTCTTCGCCGTTCCGCGCTTTTACTGATGAGCATAAGTCAGCACTTTGCTTAGATGAGGGAGCATTGATCCGTAAAACAGTATCGCAGCTGACCTGATTGTCTCGCAGTTGTAGTTACAACTGTCATTTACCAAGACTTTGACATAAATTTGGCCTGGAGTTCTATGCCGCTCCTCCTGCCCACAGGCAGGGGAGCTGCTTCCTCCCCCCCCCCCCCCTCTCGAGGCTCATCGTATGGCATGACTATCGTAGTGAGCGTGTTCTAACATGACCTCAGGAGTTCTACAACCAGAGCGACCGTGAGAAAGAGGAGGGTCTACCGGTGACGCCATTCATGGACCGAGAGAAGGTTAACAAAGCGGCTTCCCAGTGCAACTTCATCTCCTTTGTGCTGATGCCGCTCTTTACCGCCGCGGCGGAACTGCTGAAAGAGTTGGAGGTGAGAAAGAGCCTGCCGAAGGAGTTGAATTGGACTCGGGATGCGTTATGGAATCCCTTAGATGAAGAACTTAGAAACAACTGATACTAGAACGTTAGTACATGGAAGTACATGGAAGTAGTTGACACTGTGTCTGAAGTTGCTGTAGTGTAGGGTGGAAGTACATGGAAGCAGTTGACACTGTGTCTGAAGTCGCTGTAGCGTAAGGTGCCGTTTAGATGCCCCGACGTCCTGTCAAAAGAATAGAAAGTGCATGCATGCTATCTGGACTACGGAATCGTTCCTTGGTGCGTCGTTTCATCTGTCATACTGGTTTCAGTGCGAACCACCAATCTTCACCCCTAATCCTGTGTCATTGTGCTGGGCACTGCCGCACAGCGCATTTTTGCTGCGGCAAGCTTGGTGGCCTCCAGACTTGTGCTCCCCTTTGGATTTCACGGTGCGTGCACGACGGCCTATTGCAGCGCCGCACGCCGTGTCACGCGGCCGGGCCGTGTCGCTGCCGCAGGGTCTGGTGCTGGAGCCGGCGCGGCAGGCGCTCGAACACTACTCGCGACCTGAACGACGCGTCGCGCTCGGCGCGCGCCAGCCTCGACACCGGCGCCCCGTGCGACGGCGCGGTGGCCGGCGGCCGCCGCCGAGCCGGCCGGCGAGCCGAGACGCGGGGTCCGAGGAGGCGCTCAACGAGGCGGAGGTCAGCGAGCGCTCGGCCAAGTTCAAGATCGCCACGCGCACCGACTCGATGTGTCGCCGCGTCAGCGAGGACTGCGCCGCGGTGGCGGCGGCGGTCGCGCCGGCCGCGGGCTCGCCCGGCGACGGGCAAACGATGCGGTTCTCGCGCTACTTCCGCTGGATGACCGCGCGCCCGGCCGACAAGCAGCCGGCGTGGAGCGGCGCGGACGGCGCTCCCGACTCGGTGGTCGGGCTGGTGAAAGCCCAGCGGCGCCGTCCGGCCTCCAGTCCCGGCGAGGCGCGCCGCGCCAACGGGCGCTCGGTACGCAGCTCGCCCGCGCGCCAGCCCAAGCCCGGCTACCTGCGCTCGCTGGTGCTCAGGAAGCGCGAACACTTGGTGGGCGGCCGCAAGGACACAAGCTAGGCGGCTGGGCGCGGCGGCTGGGCGTGGCGGGCGGTCCGTCGCGCTACAGACGCCGAGTGCGGCGTCGCACCCGGTGGCGGCGTGGCTGGAGCCCACGTGCCGTCAGTGGCGGTGCCGGCGAGCGGCAGGAGACTGGATGCAGTCAGCCCGGTCGCGCTGACGGTGCGGGAGTCGAGCTGGCCCGCTCCCGCAGGTGGCCCGAGGCGGATGTTCCGACACTTACGGTCGGAAGCCGGGGTCGCGGCCGGACGAGGAGTCGACAGTCAGTGTTTCTCGTCCTCACTGTTGTCACAAGCCGCGGTCCACTCTGGTGTCCTGTGAGCCGCGAGGGCTCAGTATATCAATATATCATGATCTCTTGGTGCGTCGAACTATGCCCTCCACCTCAGTGTTGCCCAGACCTCGCAAGGTTGTCTCAGCGCATTGAGCAAAGACACCTCACACGCCGGAAGTGTGTCAGAAAGTACTTACAATGCGTTGCCCCGAACGTGCTTATGTCCGGTTGTGCGCATGGCAGGGAGGCAGACATGGTCGTACGAATGCTTCGGCTTGCTCGCGTGTGTTTGTATGTATATATGCGCTTGCCACTGGCAGCTAGCTTCGGAGGAGAGCTTTACGTCCCGTGGAGGAGGTGTACAGCTACGAAGGGTGGCTTCCGTGGCTATGTCGTCAATGTTCGTGGTTGGACGAGCGACTCCCCCTATTACAGTGTGTTTTCGGGTTAACTCAGAGTATATAAGACTCATTACGATAGTGGATGGCAGACACCGCCTACAAACATTGTAGTGACACGGATCAGCTACTTTCTTGTGTTCCACCTTTCATGTGCTGTAACGTGACAAATGATAAGCCAGACTCGCTATTTTTGGCGCCCGTGTAACTTCCATGACGCATGTGCCAACCAGTGTATTTTCATTAAGTGCCAGTCCCTCCACCGGAACATACAAATATGAATTGCAACACATATGGCGGCATAGCGTTTCCATCCATTCCTGTCATATAGGCGTTTATACCATAGTGATGAATAATGCGACGTCTCGATCAAAACACCAAGAAAGATACGACTACAAACATCGTGTTCCAGTTTTTACTTTTTGTATGTGCACGCATGGAATTTGTGACCGCTGAAGAACACATATGAGAACCAGTATACATAACAAATGGGTAGAGCATGTCGTGTTCAGTGCTTCAACTGTCAAGCCGTCATTAAATGGAATGTTCCACGTAACGAGCGTTTCCGAGATGCACTACATTCGGTTGGTGTATATATGCCATGACGCGGCATCCCCAGACCAACGAGCTGGACGAGGCGATACGATACAAATCATAAAAGCACGTTGCCGCAGATTTTGTGTCAAAGTACTCATTCAAGCAAGGCATTGGCTGACACATCGCGCATCAAATTACCGCCATTGGTCAGTCAATTTGCAAACAGGGTAATGTGATCGTCTGGTAGGATTATGACGTCACCTACCCTGCTGCGCCATACTGCGTGCAGTTTCCGCGGTGGACTTACTCTTTGATCTCGAAATATTGCTGTTTCCATTACCTCTTGACAAGGATCGATGGCGGAATCACTGCCAGCGCACTTTTTTGTGCTCTTTTGTTCTCTCCAGATACCCGCAAAGATGTAGCATTCTCTTTCATTGAAATTGGCGTGACTCAATGTTTTCTATCGAACGACTCCAGCTTCGGCGGCTGTTCCACACCAACTTTGCGAGCGTTCTTCATCCGTGATTACGTTTGACATTGCGTCCAAACACCATACATGTTCGTATTGTCACACAGGTGCTCTGAACTGATTGTTTCTGTGTCGTTGCTGCCACTGAATATAACTGGTATTCCCAGGGTGTCTTTTGCCGTTTTAATCAAGACGTGGAAGAGCTGAAGCGTTGCTGCATCTGCACTGAATGCAATGTACATTTCACCTAGGGGTGACACAAGTACATGTATCCCACATCCAGGCATGTGCCTAGATCAGAAAATTAGTCCTGGAATCGAGTTCCGAAATCCTGGACCTAAGATCTTTCGGAATCCAGGATCTATTCAGAAATTTGGAGAAAGGATCGTCCGGGATCCAGCACCTCATGAATAAAAATTTCTTAAACGTCTGGTGCGGACGTATTTTTGAACTTTTTATAATTGTACCGAATAGTTTTTCAGCCTCAGAACTCATCTGACGCCTTGCTGAACGATCTAACGAACCTTTAACGCCATCGACTTTCATCTTATAAAACGATCTCTGACCAGACAGTAACGGATTGGGTTCACAAAGTGAGAGCACATTTACATCCATATGAAATTTGTCTAAGCCGAAAAGATGGAGCAACAAGAAACTGATGCCAACGTGCTCACAGCACAAAACAATCGGGCAAGGGCGAATTCAACGTTAAGACAGGGCAGAATCTTGTGCTTAGAGCCTCCGGTCAGTGATCCAGCCTATTTACCTCAGTGGTCAGTACAGTAATGAATTGTTAATATTCAGGCACCCGAGCTCAAGCTATGGTAGGGTGGAGCTGTAGATGGCTCTCACCGGAAGACACTAGGTGAGGATTTTCGACCCTGACTCTGGAATAAGGACATGGGACTTACCTGGCTTTTACACGAAAGCAGATCTGTTCGTTAACAGAGAGGTTTTGTGCTTGATTGCAGCGTGCGATGAGCCCGCTCTTATTCTTACAAAGTTAATCCCTAAATCCCAGGCGTTTTCCATCTCCCGTGCTGTGCTTCCCTGTTCCAGGATACACTCTGTGCAGCAACTTTGAACCCTTTCAAGCCAAGTTGGAATCAAGCCGAACTCGCTAAATTCCCATTGAAGCTGAAGTTGCATCGGCATGACCTTTTCAGGGGCAATTATGAATATCACTTAAGTTATCTAACTCAGACAAGCTGATCGTCGGCAGCACTTATCACACTCTTCCCTGGCGGCAATCTGTGCAGCCCACCCGCCTTGCGAATTTGCTGGAAACTGTCTTTCACCGAACGCGCCCGATTATCTAATTGCTGGAGACTTCAACATGCCACGGATCCATTGGGATTACACTTGTTTGTGTTGAGGCTGACAATTATGACTCACACCACCATGCAAGCCTAAGAGGAGTGCTCCCCATTCACCATGTCCCACATGTATCCGTACGTCCGCCAGGTCAGCATACAGACAGGGTGTACCTACGAAGTTGGTTAGGTCCGATTCTTCAAACAAAGAGTGGTGAGTGTGAAAATTAATCTTCTACCTAGTCTTTAAAATAGAGACCACGCCCTCTGAGACTCAGGCTGGCATGCTACACCAAACAGCATTAGCCAGACTGACAATAATGGTCTTAATCGATCAAATTTTGACAGGTTCGACTTACTTAATGAAGACAGAAAATGGCAAGACACAGGGCACTTACGGGCTTGCTTTGCTAACCGACAGAGCTGACCTCTTTTGCACATGAGAGCACATGAGAAGGCCCTTGATGTTCTTTTGACGATATGTGTTTGCGTTATTTCGGGTCACGTTCAATCATCTTTTATGGGATTCCCTGGCTGATGGGATCTCTGACTGACAGGATTCCCTGCGGGAGCCAAGTGTGATGTGCTGGCTACCAGTGGCATATGTACGGCATGGAGAACAAACTCAATCTGTACACCCCGTTTTCCATGCAGCAAACATGGGTGAATCGCCTTCCACCTTATCGGAGGCAGGCCGGCGACCGCTCGGCCTCTCCTCGTCCTTCTTTATATGTGTGTACGTGTTGGAAGGTGGTAGTCGCAAATACCATGAAAAACTCAATTTTATCTGTTTCCAGAAGCGGTCATAAGCCCACTGGGTGTTTCCAAAAATTTGGGATGAAGGCTGTTTATAGCATGTACCGATTTTTAGGGCCCCATATGTGTCCAAGCCCATGAGGAACAGCGAAACAGTACCATGACTTGTCCGGGAGCATCATTTGCGAACGATCTGCATACTATGACAACATCAACAATTGTTCAGCGTCCAACTATGCTCTCCAAATTTCCAGTGCGGCTTGTTAAACATTAATGCTGTTAAACATTAATAGCCGTATTCCTCGCAGAACAACCAGAAGAATGGAGAGCAGGATGTGATATTTCGGCCACGTGCCTTTATCGACACGAACTTTCCATGAAATTTTCCTTTCAATAAAGGCATGTAGCTGAAATATCACATCCTTCTCTCCATTCTTCTGCTTAGTCTACGAAGATTAAGGCTATAAATGCTGTCGCACTTAACAAACAAGCTTCAAGAAAACAGTTCTGGCTTACGCTGCAAATTCCAAACCTCTCTCATTTCACTGACACCACTTGTTCAACGCAGCTGCATTGTTTCTGTGCTACCACACTGCAGTGACTCCAAAACCCACGCCTGCGAACCATTCGGCGTGCTTCTTTCCCGAAGCAGCGGGCCCTGCCTTACGATAGCTGCATTCCAGCGGTTCATTCATCGTATCTTTTGCAAGTTATTATTCGTTCAATGCATTTGGTTCCTTCAACATTATGAAGCGAAGGGGTTCAAGTAATGCAATCGATCGTCTCTGTAGCTCACCTTTTACGTCGCAAGGAATGGATGCATGAGTGAATGACGGCTGTTGGACGCCGGTAACGTACAGCGCGTGAGAATATCGTCATTTTACTTAATATACTCACGGTAGCGACTGAGCAACCTCATTATATGCTAAAATGATAGCACAGCATGTTTTCAGTAGAGTGGTTGAGTTATGCCCCAAAATTATGCTCACAATACTGCTTATTTTGGGTTCAGCAGGTGTTTTCAGAATGAACCCTGCAAGAGGTAGGCCATGGACTGCGCCAAAGTCATGTGCTCAGCTGCCATATGATCCTTGTGTATGCGGAGCAGTGCTCTTTTGTAATATACAAACACCAAACTGCACAAAAATGCGTACAAATTACATTATTTACGAAAAATATCAGCGATTGCTATAGACTCAGGTCACTGACCTCACCTCTTTCAAAAAATATAAAAAATATGTAGGTCTATG